GCACCCCCGCGCTCAGTCACCCGGCCGCGCCAATCACCGCGGCGGGCGCGGACACTCGCTCGCAGCCCGCGCCGACAGCCACACTCGTCCGGGCAGCCCCGCGCCCAGCCACACACGCTTCCTGGGAAACACACCCGCAGGCGCAGGGCGGGCGCGCGCGCGCGCACACACACACACACACATACACACATACACGCAGCCCCCCTCCTATCCGCACCCCCTAGCCTGCCTCAGGAGGGCGCCCAAGAAGTAAGCGCCCCTGCATTTCTAAGGCCAGAATGAGTAGAAGTCCCCGGGATAGTGCAAGCGGTTTGTGCTCGTCTGTTAACCTGAAGGTTGGCGGTTCGAAGCCACACAGCTGCACCACTGAAGAAAGATCTGGAGATCTGTAAAGATTACAGCCAAGAAGATTCTACTCTGTGAACACAGGGGGTCGCCAAGAGTCAGAATCGACTAGCTAACAACGGGTTTGTCATTGGTACCATGAATAGACATGTCTTTCTCACTGCCATGGAGTCAGATCCGACTCCTTGGGTTTCCGAGGCAGTATCACTACAGAAGTAGATTGCCCAACCTGCCTTCTGAGGAGTGGCTGGTGGGTTTGAACCACCAGCCTTCTGGTCAGCAGTCAAGTGCCTTAGGCACTGTGCCACCAGAGCTCCCTTACAACCCTGTGGATGTCTGGTATTATCCTCATCTTATAGATAAGTTAAGTGAAGACTCAGGGAATTAACACATTTGCCCAAGACGACACAGCATGGCAGAGATTTGAACTCAGTTTGTGCAGGCCCTTTCCACCACCTGATGGTTTTCAACATTTGTGCTGCGACACAGGACGTCTGCAATGCCTCACAGATGAACTGCCAAATGTCAATCCACGTGTAACGTTTCTTATTGTTCCAACTGATGTCTCAGAAATACTTAGAGGTTCGGGAATGTCTGCCTGAAGGAATGGTGAGTTTCACTGCTGGTGAGAGATGGAGTGCCGCTTGTTTCCACTAAGAGAGGCAAGGAGACCAATGAATTCAGAGATGGGCACGCAGCTTCACAGGAGCACCCGTGTGCAGCCAAAGGCTAACTGCCTTTGAACGTGGCTAAGAGCACAGGCGTCCAGCGAGTACATCATGGATCCTGTTATGCTGTAGAAGGATCCATGGTGGTGAAGTGGTTAAGCACTATGATACTAACCAAAAGGTTAGTGGTTTGAACTCACCAGCCACTTGGTGGGATAAAGATGTAGCAATCTGCCTCTATAAAGATTACAGCCTTGGAAGCCCTATAGTGCAGTTCCACTCTGTCCTCTAGGGTTGCTATGAGTGGGAATAGACTCCATGGCAAGGAGTTGTTGTTGTTGGTAATGCTGTAGTAGTAACTGATTTAAGTAGTCCTGGCTTGTTTATAAAGGAGCTCTGGTGCTGTAGTGCCTAAGGCATTTGACTGCTAACTAGAAGGTTGGCCACCAGCCACTCCATGGAGGAAGATTGGATGATCTACTTCAGTAAAGATTTATCCTCTCAGAAACCCAAAAGGGGGTCGCTCTAAGTCGGAATTGACTCAATAGTAGTGAGGGCTTTTTTTTTTTTTTTTTTTTTGGCTTGTTTATAAGGGACTCTGGTGGCTCATTGGGCTGCTAACCAAAAAGTTAGTGTTTCCAACCCACCAGCCATTCCGCAGGCGAAAGTGAAGGTTTATAGCTTTGGAAACCCTATTATGGGGGCCACTATGAGTCACAATTGACTCGATGGCAGTGGGTGAGTAGTTTGTTTACATTGTTTGAGTCTCTAAATCCTTTCAAAGGTTCCAACCAAAATGCTAGTATGTAAAATATCAGGAGGACATAAAACACCGGAGGCCCCTGCAACATTCAAAGCGGCCCTGAAGACCAGGCTTCCTATGGTGTGCAAGCACTGTGCTGTTTTCTTCGTAAGAGTCTCCCACTTATTCCTTGTCACAGGCTGGAGAGGGAGCAATTACTGAGACCACGTAACAGCTGTGGATGTGGCCCTGAAAACCCCTTTTCCAGCTACACCCCTCCCTGCCCACTCTCTTGGGTGGAGGGGAGACTTAAAGAGTCTTGGACAGGTTCTGTGTGGGAATAGAAGCAGCTAGGGAGAGTTAGCATGGTGCTTGCCTGGGTGCTGCAACAATTTGCAATAGGCTTGTTATGTATTGCCCACTAACTGAAAGGTAAGGAGCTGCCCAAGGCATCTGACTGCTAACCAGAAGGCTGGCAGTTAGAACCCACCAGCCACTCCTCGGAAGGAAGATTGGGCAATCTATTTCTGTAAAGATTTACCACCTTGGAAACCCAGTAGGTGGAAACTGAAAGGTTGGCTGTTGAAATCCACTTCCATGTGATAACAGCTATCACCAACTCTGTGGAGAGCAGTTCAGTTCTACTCTGACATACATGAGGTTGTCATGAGTGAGCATCCACTCCACAGCAATGGGTTGGATTTTGTTCTGTTAGCATAGGACTTGACCCATGGTATCTGCTCAATGAATATTTGATTAAAAAAAAAAAGTGACAAATGAATAAATGATTCTGGGGCCCTTCTGGCAATGAGGTGTGTTTCAGAAAAGCATGCAGTGCTCACTCTCTTATCACAGACACCCCTCCCCAATTGATGTGAAGTGAAATCAGGCCACCAACCGATAGGTCAATGGGGCAGCCTCTGATTTATTTGCAGTCCCTAAGCAAAACATTAGGAGCTCTGGTAGCATAGTGCCTGAGGCACTTGACTGCTAACCAGAAGGCTGGCTATTCAAACCCACCAGCCATCCCTCGGAAAGAAGATGGGGCAATCTACTTCCGTAGTGATACTGCCTCAGAAACCCAAGGAGGGGTTGCTATGAGTCAGGTCTGACTCGACGGCACATAACAACAACAACAAGCAAAACATTGCAAAGGACACCCCTCTCTCATCTTCAGGAATCCTATAGGACCCCAGTCCTTTAGGGGCTGCCTGGAGGCTGTATACTGTAATTTAGCCTGTAGTTTTTCTCTAATATACTTAATGACAATTATCCCACTGGAGACATTTTCCTTGAATGTTCCTCATTGAAAGGTTCATTTCCTGTTAATCACGTTCACTAAAGACTTCTAAATGGAAACATATAAAGCAACAGTCCCCAGTGCATGAGCATAGCAATCCTCCACAGCCGGGTAGGGCTTATCCCAGGGATTATATTAAAAAAATATATTGAAAAGGGATGTTAGGGCTCTGGGTTAAGATGGTAATTGAATACATACATGTAATTTCACTCTTT